GTCGTGATAAATCACCTTGGTATCGTAGACTTACCCCTTTGAACCACGAAAATTTATGTGAGCGGAATAACATTGTTATTGGAAATCCTATGGCCAAGCTTGCACAGCATCGATCACTCCTTGATGTTTGTGTTTTATGGAATCTCCGACAGTGATGATCCAACTGCATCGATCCAACCCAACCCTTCCTTCTAGCGGGCCAAATACGAATCCCCCCTGCCAACCTGTCGAGAATTCTTCAACGCACGCTTGGCCCTGCAAACGTCCCCGACCACTCCAACCAGGGGAGCTATGGATTCTTTTTCGAATAACCGAACGCGCTATGCTCAAAGCGCTTGCAGCACAATGATCCGGAAACTATCAATACTGAATGCTGATAATTTAGAGTACCACCACTGTCGTCCATCTAATTTGCGACTGCTCACACTCGGGTGGACGTCATCTAACAAAATATTCCAGACATTTGACTCTCTGGTAAAGGTACAACCAGCGGTCAAATTTGTAAATCTTCGGAAAAGATACTGTGGTTGTGAAGAGGAGTGAGGGAAAAGGGCACAACAAATTTTTAAAATATATTGGCGTCCTCTTGTTAGCTTCATTCGATACTGTGATCAGGAAAGGGAGTGTTCGGAGAGTTTTCCTAACCACCGGTTCAATGCTAACAATCATGTTTGACACTTGATGATTACCCCGATTTTTGTCGTCGCCTTCAATTTCATGTTTCACCGTTTGTCATATTAAAGTGAAGCTATATCAGACGCTAAGGCCGGTGTAAGACTTTGCGCCAGCGATTCAGTGGTAGCGACACCGCGGACTCGTTACTAGCTAGTTGCTGAATTCGCAAATTCTGACACCGGCCCAATCCTGGCGGTACCTGGGCTACTGCCAGCTGCCAGATGCGGGTTTTTATGATGAGGCGTACACTGCGGGGAGGGAACTCCCACCACTGCTTGGCGTACTCTTTCCAGCTACAAGAAATGCATTTCACAAAATCCTGTGGCACGTATTTGTGGATGATACTGATCCAATAGATCGATCGGTTGTGATCCAACCTTCGGTTGTCTATACAGGGTGGCTACTAAATATTGGCGCATGGTTTATTGATCATATTTCCAAAAAGAGAAGCTATTATATCTTCAGAAGTTTATTTTATATACAATAAAACATGAAAATTCATTACCAAAGAAAGTGCTCGAGATGGCCTCCTTTGGTAGCGATACAGGCTTGAAGTCTCTTTTCAACTGACATCACCGTGGGCCGCAAGTAGCTGACGTCGGCGTGACGTGAGTAGATCTTCAGACCAGATTTGCAAAACGACAGGCAGTTGTTGGATCTGGCTAGCAGACATTCTGCTCGACCTTGTGTACACACAAGGAACCGTTTTTCAAATTTGTCATGGTTTGGGCAGGAATTACTTCTGAAACCATGACACCGCTTGTCTTTGTGGATGAATACATCAAAGCCAGCGCCCAGATCTACCCGGAAACAATTTTCACGTGATGCCCTTCTTCCAAGGACTCTTTTGACCTTCAGCGAACGTCATTGCATTCTTCAGCAAGACAGGGCGCCTCCACATGCCGCAAAATCAATGCTTGGAGAACTGTGACCGTCATTTTCCAAGTTACCGGGCACAAAATGTTTGGCCATCTAAGTCGCCCGATTTGAACCAATTGATTTGGCGGTGTGGGGCTTCTTGAAGCAGAAGATGCCTTCTGAGCAACGTCGAAGTTTGGACTCCCTGAAGGCTTCCTTGGAGGAGGCGTGGAAGGAGCTTGACGTCAGCTACTTGCGGCCCACAGTGATGTCAGTTGAGAAGAGATTTGAAGCCTGTATCGCTGCCGAAGAAGACCATTTCGAGCGCCTTCTTCAGCGATGTACTGCCAATGTTATAAAGATAAAACCTCTGTAAGATGTAAAAGCTTCTCGTTCAAAAATATGGTCAACATTCCATGCGCCATTATTTAGTAGCCACCCTGTTAGAGTGTGGTTTCCGTAAGTTTTTTCTCTTCGAAAATTGAATTTGTGCGCAGGGTCGGTCCTATCGTTGGTACTTTTTGCAAAATTTTTACGACCCCCCTCCCCCAACGTGGATTTGATACGACCCCCTTTTCCATACCTCCACCATCTCCATCTTCCATCAAAACCCCGCCCACTTTTCCTCCAAAGGGGGGGGAGGTATATACGCCCGCTGAAACGGCAAATTTTTATCCTGCGCGCCCTCCCTCTCGCCCAGCCTACTACCCACGAAATCTTAGTTTCACCTCAATCCCACACGTGATTTCGAGCGACTAAAGTGGGTACGACCCCCCTCCTACAAACTCAACCAGGTACGACCCCCCGTTGTTACTCGTAACAACGTAGGGTTGACCCTGTTTGTGCGTGGTACTTCGCCTCTTTTCTCTAGTGGTCATAACTGACACACAACATGCATGTTGGGAAAAGATGCAAGAATTTTCGGGAAGGATTCATCTATTCGAGGAATGTGCTTCCCAATTGGGGTAGTTTTTGTACGGACTAAAAAGTAAATTAAATTATGGTTAATTGAAGTTCAAGGTCATAACGGATTTTGCAAAAGTGGAACATAAATAGTGTTAGTGGCGCTTCATATCATCACAAATCAGGCAAAGGCCTTTTGAGAAGAGAATTTAGGCAAAGGTCTATTCAGGAGGAAAATGCAAGGGATCCCATGGAGATTACGCGAGGGAACTATGGCCTACTTAGAGCTCCCACCTGTAGTAGTCGCGTTTTTGGTAAGTATACGGCTGTATAACTGCTGGCCACTAAAGTGCAACACCTTCCTGCTGAGGTTATTACGAAAACAAGACTGTCGCTCTAGTGACCGGCTCCACCCTCAAACATCTCGTTGCCGTGACAACTACGTCAACTTTGTTAGCTCATTCGCAACAACTATAGCCATTCATCAGTAGTAAGCCATTTATTGGCGCTTTTTCAGGCGGAACTCGACTACACGTGAACGCCTCTGTAAATTCCCTTGCCCCTTCTGCAAAATTCAACTGCCAGTATTACTGCATAAGCCATTTTATGGTGCGGACTTACGCTTACAATCCGTCGACGCAAGGCTCCTTCTTTGATTCAGTATTCACAAACCCATCCACCATATGCTCTTCATCACAGCAATCACCCCAACAACAGTCACCTCAACGAGCCACTAAAGAGGTGCAACGTCAAGATAATGAAATCGTGCCAGTCCGCCAGCAGATTGCTCCTACAGAGCGATGTCTCTGCAACGTTGGACCACCTCAGTACAGCAACGCTCCCTTTCATTCTCCTTATGTCGACCCTATTGGATCCATAGTCGGTCTGCGAGTACTCTATCTAGATGGCAAACTGTGCTATGTACCGGTGGAACCACAACTCAACTACATGATTAACCAGCAATTCGGGGTACGTGTCCATTATCAGATGTTTCACGTGCGTACAGTTCTATAATACCTTGAAAAAGTTGATAGAAGGAAATTATACTCACTCTATAGACCCGCCCCTATTTAGGCCCCTCTCATCGTAGGTGAATCAGTGAGGTAATTCTCGACTAAAAAAAGCGGTAGAAAATTGAGTTCTTTATGAGTGAGAGGAATTTTCAAGGGGCATGTGAAATACCAGTCCATACCTTCGTAAGTTATACTATCTACAATTCGACGAACGATCACTCAGTTAAGATGAGGAGGCCTGCAAGTCTCAGAGAAAGTCTGAAATGTCCTCACCCTGGATTCCTCCAATAGCGCTAAAGTTTTGAGTAAGTGTGGCTATTGAATTCCTCCATCTCGTGCTTGAACTCGATGGATGAGTTCACTAATTCTCCGTTTTCTTCGCGGTTCTCTGAACCCTGATGGATAGAGAACAAATTTTCATACCCCAATCAAGGAAGCGAAAGAAAACTTCAGATAGCTTCCCAAAAACAAAAACAAAACTTTTAGTACTGGTGAACCATCACATGTTCAGGCTAAAGAGGGATTTCACGACAAGGACGAAGGTCGGAGAAGGGGGAGTCACTTAGTAGAGGGAGAGGCGAACCTCCTAAGGGAGCAGACCGACACGCAATCATCGAACGAGATACCCCCGCCGATCTAGCACGGCCTTCCCCACGTAGCAACTGGTCGTTATTGACGCGGTACGACCCCCTCCCCTTCCGTGTCGCCTCGCGTCTGAGTCTCTACGTTTAGCAAAGAGAGCGTTGGCTTTGCAGAGGACAACGCCGATCAGAGTCGCATCAAATGCAAAGAAGGGGTTCCTTCTCTTGGATTCTGAGTCATATTTTTCTTTTTTCTCTCATGTATCACTGGCGTCAATTTGCAATAGGCTACCTTTTCATCGAAAATCCACCACTAGTGCAAATGCAATGCGTGGCTTTTACTCTTCTTTCTCTCAGTTGAAACTTGTCTTCTGACAGTTATGGCGTTTCTTTCAATGAGGACATTGTGCAAAATTAGTTAATCCCACGGTGTTTTTGGTCTGGATAATTTCTTTCGTAACTGTTTATCCGAAGGAAGGGTGTCACATGAGGCCTTGCCCGACTGAACGGCCGACTACAACCTCTTCCAGGAAAGCATCTTTTGTGAATCACTCAGGGTTTTGGCGATTTCGGAGTGTAGAACAGACAAGGAGTTGTCCGGGTGCGACCAGAGCCATCGCTACGATCTCCGAGCCCCTGATAGATTCATTAGAGAAGCAAGGTGTCCGCCCCAAGACTCGTACAGGGCATACCCGGCCAGGGACCGTCCAATAGTATAGAGGCTAAATAAGGAAGTGCTTTCACACCATACAGGTAACCCTGATCGTCCTTTACAATTTGCTCGGGCCCAACCCTGCCTGAGGAAAATGTCAAAAACGTCAAAGCACCCATTCCATGTGCTCATACGCATGCAATAAATCTAAATCTAAATCTAAAAAGTTCCGGCGCTGGCTTCAGCACCTTTTCGACTACATCCATAGTGGAGAGGGTTCATTGACAGAGGTAAGATGACTCTGAAGGGCAATGATAATATCGCAAATAATCCTTTCGATTCATTTGCTCAACTGTTATTCCTATGATGAAGTTTATTTCATAGCCCGAAAGCAATAGTATTTTTTTATGTCGGAAGTTTACACTGACAGCAACTGTGGTAAGGTCTCCAATACAGGTTATCGCATATTTCTAATACTATAGCATGCGATTACAAGTATTAGAGGATATTCCTACATACATTCCCCCCTTAAAGAGGTTAGCCAGTAGTTAGAGATCCTTATAATAAAAAATAGTACGATATTTATGCATATTTGTATGTTTAGAATGGCTTTTGCGTGCACTGTGCTCGGAGAAATGGGTTTTTGTCCATGGGTAATGACCAGATCCACAATCAAGCGTCCTATAAGAACAGCAATGGAGAAGTGCATCCTGCTGACCCAGTCGTCAACAATGGTTACCAGGTAAGATGGAGTTATCTTTTGAATCCGATCTTTGTGTTGCCGTCACCAGAGGAAATAACTATGAGCTGTTAGAGCGACAAGGACAACTATAGGTTTCGCTACTCGGCGAAAAACGAAGAAATTGCGTGGCTTCTGAGAAAAATCTCTGCCATGGATACCTCTCAGCAACCGCCAGTTTTCAGGAAAAATACGCCATTGACAGCCGCACAATGTACAACCCGACGGCTGGTCCTGCAGTGCAGAATCCACAGCGAATACGCCAATCTGTAGGTTATCGCTTTTGATAACCAACAGGTCTCGAAGTTTCCTTAACTGTTTAGTCCGATCTTCTTCTATCCTGCTCTTTCAAACAACATTTCAATGTTTAACAAAACGAATCAGTTGCAACTGATCGGTATCTGCGCCACGCATTTGACTTCCATTCAGAATCGAAGAGTGTTCTACTGACATAGAAGTTTTGAAGAAACCGAATGTGTGACTAATATAGCCCAAAAACGGTTCCACATAACAGATTTGACTGTACCTACGATCCACTTGAAGAACAGTTACCACTCATGGCGCTAAGTCATTTGCAGCGCTTTCTGTGTTCGTATGTTGCTCTTTGCTATCTCTTTCTTACTTGCTTGGTTAAATGCACTTCTGTCTCCCATTGCTTGAACTTTTTCTCATTGCCTATATCTAATTAACCACCTGCCTGCTTGTCCATTTCTCTGCTTATCGGTCAGCCTGAAATCCAAACAGAAGTACTCCTTTCTAGCCTTCTTAGCAGCGAAAACTTAAGAGGAAGGATATAGTTCGTCATTCATTGACAAGATATGATGCCATTAGTAACTCTAATGCACTCAAAGAAAGTTTAAAGTTCACCAGTGGGTCCCAGTTCCAGTAAGTAACTGGATTATGTACATTAAGAACTTGCGATTCTCTCGTACCTTTAAATCCGACTGCGCAGCAATACATTGGTGAAATGGCCGGATAGAAGTTTACTCTGAAGTTTTGAAGCAACTGTTACCCGATGTTTTCTTATAAGTCCCCTTCTCCTTTGTGTATGTAACAGGAAGACCTTGGGAGGATCATGTATTAATCAAAGTCTGTTTTGTTCACTTATTCAGTAGATCATGCATTTTGTAAGGCTCAGTGCTTAAGGAAGATGACGGACCACCTTGGACTGTCCAACATCCTCAACCCCGTTCTGGTGTTCGGCGCTCGTCTCTGTGGTTTGGCGGAGAAACAGTGCAGGTAACCTCCTTTGAGTTCAAAGAGTATTAATGTACCTTTTTCGCAGGTAATTTTATCCTTTTTTATATGGACTATAAAGTTGCTAAATCGGAAAAGGAAGGCGCTGTGAGAGTACAACCTGGCACGAACCCAACGTATTATATGTTTCCTTCCTTCACTAAAAATTACATCCACCAAGCATTCCTATTATACCAGTAGAGTTATCGAACTTCTTGGCGACAAAGCCAACAAAACAGAGGAGTGCCTCACTTCTACAAAATTGGTTCAGTTTTTTATGATGAGAACTTACATATCTGTCTTCAACTCAGCCAAATAAGCTTCAAGACCTCCACAGTTTGGGTTTGGTGTACATAATTGGATTACGTAACAAACAGGGAGAGCCCGTCATTAGGCATTCTAGATGGTAGAGCAAACCATGACTTCCCACAGCATTTTTGGGCCCGAACGGAAATAGCTCACGGCCCACATTGATCCATCCAAAGCTCTTCGTTATGGACTAGGCGAGTGGAATTCATGCCAGAGATTCTCTCCGAGACTTCGTTTTTATCTTTTCGCATTTAGTAGAGTGCATTAATAACAGAACAAAAGGTTTATATTTTCAAGTGTTTAATCGCTGGTGATTGAGCCCCGATGGTGGTCCTTTCTTGTAAAGACTCACTTTGATGGGCGAGGTGTATCGCCGACCGGATATCCACCTGCGGGCGTGGGAGAAATTTATATCCGTTTTCGGGCAGCAGGCGCGGCCACTTGTGGTTAAGTAAGGAAACGCTTAACAACATCGAGAATAGCCACGCGTGAGGTCTTCCACGAAAACAACGCGCCCTCTCAGATTAATATGTTATGTCATGCTTGGGAGCCGATGACTGCTTTTTTGAATGGAGTTACGGGGGGGGGGGAGGAAGCAGAAAAACGCCATTCTCAAAACAAAAAAAAACTGATTTAATCACGCTTTGCTAATCAAGCCCGATGTTCCACTTTAAATAACAAAGAGCACGTTCAAATCTCCTGAACAATACCATAATAGCCCTATACACACGAGAATGATATCACGGGAGCATGGTGCAACGGTCGAGCTTAATGAGCTGTTCAACCCTTCACGTACCATTGCAACGTCTTCTGAAAGCTAGTCAACAGAAGCCTTGCATAGTCAGACTGTTGTACCTAGGAATTGTACCTAGAGTAAAGGTTCGGATGCTTAGCATCCTCCCCTCCCAATTACATATGTATCAGGCCTCGAGCATGCTCAATTGAACCACATAAACTCCAAGACTTATTCTGTAATAAACTTTATAAGTTAACGCGACAACAAACAGACATAAGGCAACGAACAGCGTAAGCATAGCGATGATACGAAAATCATAAAGAGGGTAGGCACGGCGGAGATGGAGTCCCTGTTAATCCGACCAGTCGCGGTACGGTCCCGTCAGCCGATTGGCCCGTTCCTCGTTGTTTCTCTCGTCCTCGCTCCACTCCTTCGATCGTCTTCAAACCGTCCTAAATCTGGAAACATAACTAGTTTAGAATAAACATAAGACGTCCATAGGTTCACGATACGCCTAGGTAGATAACATAAAGAGGGAATAAATGGAAACAGACCATCATTTGAATTACCCTGATCGTTGCATCTCCCCCGTCCTGCGGGGTTCGTCCTCAGGCTTAAGGTTTAAGAGGGGTCGAAGGGAGTTGGCGAAGAAGTAAAGATCGGTGATGGCGTCTCTCCCCACACAACCAGACCACTTTGTTCCCCACAGCTAGGGGTAGAAAACCTGAAATGAACATACCGTCTTCAACACAGAAGAGCGCAACATTCAAGCTTTTGCTTCGAAAAAGAAGGGGGCTGCAGCCGTAGCTCCAACTCTGTGCGTGTTGTGCACGGGATAATCACAATTTTTTTCTCTGTGCACTGTCAGCGGTGGATATCGCAGCATCTGTTTGTTGCAAAATACGCACACATAGTAGCTTTTGGTCACGGCAGAGACAGACTACCATGATCTGCGCCGGCGCGCAACCTTTGCTTAGAAGAAGGCGCACAGTGCGTGAGCTGCGGTTGCCTCCACGATGTTGCTATGAGAGTCAGTAACCGACTGAAGGAATACGATGGGGTGGTAATGAGTGCCACTGGTATTCCAGAGTTAGCTACTGTGACACGCGAGAGCAGTGCTGGGCGGAGTGACGCTGCACTGAGCAAACTTTCGAAGAATAACTTTGAATTGAGATACCTATCTCTAGTGGGGGTGGTAGACCGTCCTCACTAGAGATATGTATCTCTATTCTAATCTCTGCGATGTCATGTTCTTCACGTGTGGTTCGTGACCATATCGAGGACCGACCGAGAGCTTGCTGCAACAGCTGGTAGGACATTTTGAAGATCTAAGTACAGAGGTAGCTGTTTGCTTTCTGTTTGCTATCCCCGATGAGCGTAATGCGCGCCTCTGGGAAGCGTGATATGAGTGACATCGAGTCGCCTCTAACCATTGATGCCCCATCTAAAATGAACCTGTATTACGAGCTACCAATCAAGCTCCGCAACCCATTTTTGCAAGTGAGAGACATATGCGTTAGAAACCGTACAGAGGTGTACACTAGAATTCAACTTAATAAACTTGCTAGTTAGCACTTTGAAACCCCATGAAGTTCGTTCTTCCAGGGGCAACATTTCGTGTGTTCTATATTTGCGACCACAGTTTGCGTTAAAAACATGGACTCTCGTGGCTGTCGACGCTCGTCCGAGAACCGCTTGAGCCGTTTCTACCTCATTCACTAAATGACGGTGTGTACTATGGAAATTCTTTACGAGAGTATACCGAGCAAACAGCGACGATTGCTGCAGCGTACCCTGAGCCAAAATTGCACTGACACAGCGTACCGCATGGATGTTCCAGCTTCAGCTCGGCGGTTTTCGTACCAAATTTGTATAGTGCGCTATTCTGAACAGCTGTTAAAAGAATGATGTGCTGCATTTCAGCAGACTCCTCGGCCATAATCGCCGCGCCCACCGATAACTGCGCTATGCGCGCTATCCACAATTCGGATACGGATCTCCTTATAATATTATACATATTGACCGCATTCACCTAGTCAGCACTGAGTGTATTTGTTATCTTACCACTGTGACAGTGATGGCGTCGTGATCCGAAAAATCGAAGCTGGTTACCTGTGTGTCCCCGGTTGAAAAGAAGACAGCTGCCAACCTGAGCTGGGTTTTTTTTCGTGCCATCCAGGAGTGCTTGATTAAGGCAAGCAGGGATTGGCTCGTTCGTCTAGCGTATGCAGGACGGTTCCTTCTGCAACTCATTCGTTTCGTGATGTCAGAAGGAGCGCCTGACCGAACATCATCGGACGTTTTAAGTCGGGCCGTGACATCGAGGTTCTCGTCTTCCATTTCGATGTCGATGATTTGGGCTTGCATCAGATCATTTTCATAGTGGGACGTCCGACAGCCCAACCTGCTTTCTTAAAATAGCTATGCGGAAAACACCTTAAATAGGAAGAACATTTATATTAGGTGAAGATCATACGGTAGCATGCACATGTCGGTGGCCTGCTGCATGCTGCGATAGTCTCAGATGCGGTACTATAAAGTGGTACGAAGAGCAACCCGACTTCTTGTGTCCGTTGGAACTAGTCAAAGTTGTTGAGCTTTTTCTGCACGAGATCCTGATGTTCCTTACTAGTTATACGAATTTCGCACGAGGCTACAGCTAGACTTGGGATGTATGGAATATCCACCATGTGGAAATCGAGCTCCTTGGCATAGCCGTTCCTTATACACGCAAACACCATATAACTGAGCTGGCGTTCCCGGAATTATGCCACAATAAAGAAGCTTTCTATGACAGAAGGGGCTATATCTGTCAGCTGGAGCACGATGCCCGTATAATTCGCCGATCACCTTGCATGCATAAATAAAACATGTATGGTAATTGCTCGACCTTTCTTGCAAAACCTAATGTGGGAGTTAGATGCCGCTGTATCAATGCATCTCGAGCTAAACGTTTGCAAGAGCGGCGTGTCTGACTTATCAAATCTGATCGTATCGGCTAGTGAGTAGATCCACCTGAGATCGCCAATGATGATTTTCCTGAGAACAAGACACTTTTCCCTGTAAAATGTTACTTAAGAAATTTTTGGCACGGTACAAGACCGCTGCTGTGTTACCATCGAGAACTAATCCCTTAACATAGACATTCGATGCTTCGATGTCGACGTCTAGTGATGTCTACGACTGACATTGGTTGGCAACAACAACTGACAATGGTTCACTCTGTCTGCCGCACTTCCACGAGCTGAGTGCAGTCGTTGTTGCTGCGAAAGGCTTCGATAGCCTTCGGACCGACCGCGACTGAAATTGACGTTGCTTTCCTGCTCATGACTTTGATCACTTTAAGAAGGGAAAATTCTGTTTGTGAGACCGCTATATCCTGAGATAGGTATTTCCAAAATTCGATTCACGTACGTCACTATTGCAGTCGTCGGATACGAAGTGAGATGTTTCCCCGAGGGATAACTCGGCCCATTGATGTTTCCTGATCTTTTCAAGAGGTGTTTTGAGTCTCTGAGGTAGAGGGCGTTTCCTTCGTGAGTATATTATTTTGGGAGCCCTCTCTCGCGAATGGCCAGCGACAGGGGCTAGGTGGAAGTAGTTAAGCCTATTCCACCAGAGAGTGGTTGCGTCGGCTATTCCTCGAACTGTCATTGGTCCTCTCCCTGGTTGCCGGCGCATGCTACTGAGTTTCGATCGTTTTTTTGGCCTATTCGGTGGCCTGAGCTTCGGTAATGGGTACGTCCGGAGACGGACTTAGCGACTTACATTAGCACTACTTTCTGAGTCTTCTAACGAGGAGTCATATGTGGTGGACAATGAGGCTATTTCTAAAGCGCTAGTTGTTTCACTCGTTGAACTTTGTCACTGCGAGATTTGAATATTGATGGGAAATATTTGGGTGCTGATTCCCTGATGATTCCTTGATGAGGGAAAGGACTCATGCGCCGCTCCGCGGCTGTTTCCGTTGCTGTTGTGCACGGTGTAGGAGTGGACGTCTATTTGATTATTGATAGCGCAATCGGCGTACCTGTCTTGCACGTGTTCGGTGCTACTTCTCTCGTGAGTTCTGTAGGAAAATTAGTTACATGATGCCTTGCCTGATGAGAAATTGCGAGTATTAGAGACAGATGGTAATCACTGTGGAGAAAGGCCTTAAGAAGCAGACAAACTTCTAACTACACTTTGAGCGATCGCCAGACTATGATGAGATGTGCGCGAGGAGAGTATCCTTCCGAACACGGCAGCAACCAAGAAGGCTGATGAGTGCCTTCGTTGACTGCCTATACTTGTCCATCTTGACGTCCCATGCCAGCGTTCGTCATCGCGAACCGATGATTTCAGTTTGCGCTGGGAACTGTTTTCAAAGCGCTTTGTTTGCTTCTTGCAGCTTGGGAAAGCGCAAGTGAAATTTGCGGCATTCACGACTCAAAGAGGTCATTGCGACGATGTGTTACACTGATTGACTGCGCGAGAGAGTTAGCGCCGACGCTCTGTGTTGGAGGAGCACTGTAGACGCTTCATCAAACCATGATCAAATTTCAGCGAATGAAAAACAAAGAAGGCTTCATTCCGCAGTTCAAATTTGCCATGCAGGACATGCCATTTCGGAGCTGAGGGAGTTGCATAGGAGTCTCAAAGAAGAAACACCATGACGGAGCTACCGCTAAGGAATAAAAAAAAAGAAAAAAAGGAACACTTATTTAATTTTACCAATACCTACGTTCAAAATTAAGGAATTGGTAAGGGAAAGGTGTAAGGAAAAAGCCAGATGCGACTTTGTATTGTTTCTATAATACATTGGTTCCATTTGTTCAACTCTCAGAAATTCCCCAACAAGTGACAAAAAGTCCTTATAACTGTTCCCACCCGGGTGCATAAATATTCAGATCACGACGAGTAATTCACCGACAGTCACAAGCGCTGCATTAAATGCAAGGGAATGCGAAAGAAAGTAAATAATAAGGACAGGCAACTGGCACTGTTCACCTCAATTTCATCAATGCACTCGCCCCTCGGCAGAGGCTTATACCGTCATCTCACATGCTGGTCCCGCGAGAGTCCTCATTCTAAATAAAGAAAATTAGGCCGATGGGTTGCGGGATAGAGTGAGGCCGCAATCGTTGACTACCAGTATGGGTTCGGATGTCCCCTTAGCATCCTCCCCTCTTTATTACATGACAGGCTTCGAGCATGCCCAACTGAAACACATAACCTCCGCGATTCATATGGTAAAAGAATTTATATGTTAACGCGACAACCAGGAGACATAGGACAAGGAACAGCGTAAGCACGGAGATTATAAAGAGAGCAGACACGGCGAAATTGGAGTCCCTGGTCATCGAATAGTCGCGGTACGGTCCCGTCGGCAGAATCTTCGCCCCTCATCCTCGCTCCGCCTCTTCGATTGTCTTCGAACCGTCCGACATCTGGAAACATAATGTCCTAAGCGATTCAAAATAAACATAAAACATCTATAGGTCTAGAATAAGCTGATGAATTAGATAGATAACATGAAGAAGGAGCCAACGAGAACAGACCATCATTTAAATGACCCTAACCGTTACACTAGGAAACTCTCCGCCAGTAAGTCCATTAAAAGATAAAAGGATAAAGCATTTGCCGTTGATCAATCCCTTTTTGGGATGCGGCACGCATTCTACTTCCATTTGTACATTCGTAGTGGCGTTTGAATGCGATGTGGCCTATACAATGACTTGCGGGGCCAGCCGATGTACAAGTCAGTGTTTTTATCCTCCCAGACAAGTCTGGTACCAATTAACCGACCCCGGAGGGATGGAAGGCTTGGTTGGCCCGGGCGACTCACGACCCAGGATTTGATCCCCGGACCGCTCGCGTGGTAAGCGTGCCACTTGTCACTACACCACTTCCGCCGTAACTCCATTAGGACAGAAAATTAGGTAGCTGCTTCAAGCTGGAGCAATCGGTAAGCGTTCCTAAGTTCGATAACGCTTGCCTTGTACAAGAGGACACGGCACCGGAACGTCGCCAAGGAAGAGAGAGGAGGGGTCAAAAATAACAGCTGATTCCTCAGGTCTATTCAGGTGGGTATACAAGCTAGAATTGCAAGTGCTAGGGATAGCGCAAAAATAAGTTCACCGAAAAAAATAAGTTTTTCGTAATTACGCAAATAAATTTGCAAGAATACTTGAATCCTTTGGCAAATTAAAAAATGTATTACTTTTCACACAATTACCATCTTCTTCAGAGAATAGGGTTTGTGACTTGCTTTTCACTGCAGCGTATCAGCACCCTAATCCATTTTTCGACCCACTGCTGCCTACCAGTATCTGAGTTGAAGTGTAGCTCTGCGCTCAGTCGATAATTTTGATGCGTTGGGCTTCTTTGCCGTAGTGCTGATGGAGCGCTGCAGATTGCAATCATTTCGAGATAAGAATCTTTCCATCGATCATATCTTCGAATATTCGATCATCTTATTAATAAAGAAGCTGACCTTTTCCCCATAATTCGAATTTGTCTATGTTTGAAAATATTTTCTTGTAATGCTGATCTTCTAAGTTTTTATAGGAAGCACAAGGGATTTGACTATGTCTTCCATTGCAGATCGCGCTTCGTTCACGCGAACGATCGCAGCTTGCGCTGGAAAAGCTTAAGCTATCTTGAAAATATAATCAATTCCTGCATGACCTACAAGAGACTTAAAGAGACTTACAACTTAGAGGCAAATTCCGGGATTTCTGGCGAAATTGGGTTTTCCCCGTCAAATATGCAGCAGTACGCAAGGGCAGACCATGTGCAGAAGTGGCGGGGCGTTTTGATAAGGTTTAGGCGCTAGGAACCTAGGTTGGAGCATTGGCGCCGCCCCAACCCCATTGAGCCCGCCCACCGTCCTACGTGATCTTCCAAGCAACCGTTGTTTGGAAAGTCGTAGGGGAATATTAGCGGATTTCAACTGCGAAAATCAACATCAAAGCCTATGTTACGACCATTTTCGAGAACGTTGTCATCATTCTAGTGAGAAGAAAAAATTTTAAGATAGGAAGCAAACAAAAAAAGCACAGAAAAATAGAAAAAATAGGGAAACTAGAAAAAAATCAGTTTTCATTGCTGACTTTTTGTGGCCGTGTCGGTTGATGGCACAAAGCCAACAGTTGCTGTAGACATGTCCAAACACGTAATTTTCCCAGCCCTGGTTCGTAAGCGACTAACGAAGAGGAATTTCTAATTTTGGAGTTCTTTGGAGGTATTTCCTGCTTTTTCATTACCTTCGATCAACTTAGCACCCAGCTCTTCATACTCGAACAGGTGAGTTTTTTATCCCGGAGTTTGCCTTTAAGGACGAGTAGCTTTTCCATGACGTGTTACTGGCGAGTAACATAACTCTATAGAACCTAACCACACACATAAAAAAGCTCTACAGTGTAATTCAGAAAGCAGTTGATAGGAGGGTGAATATCGGTCGAGGATTCCTCAACGGCACGTCGAGGATTCTCTGCCTGATCAGTTACGATCTCCCGCGCGGACATTCACACTCGCCATGCGCGAGCCGTCTGTGCTCTCCGCGCGTACGTTCACTCTCGGCACTACTCTCGCACGGTACAGAGCCATGGTCGAGGATTTCTCGACCGTTATTCACCCTGAATGATAGGAACCCTCAAAGGCCCACAGAGCAGGGTGAATATCGCTTGAGGATTCCTCAACGGCACGTCGAGGATTCTCTGCCCGATCAGACACGATCTCTCGCGCGGACATTCACACTCGCCATGCCGTGCCGTCTGTGCTCTCCGCGCGGATGTTCACTCTCGGCACTACTCTCGCATGGTAGAGAGCTATGGTCGAGGATTTCCTCGACCGTTATTCACCCTGCCACAGAGCTATCCATATGTTATGTCTCTTCATCTATGTCGTCCTTAGATTTTGCACACCAATGTATAATTTTAAAAGAACTCTTCATAGATATCCGATGTTCGACCCGCACAAACTAATCAGCTAGACCGAACAGCGCCTCTGGTTCCAGCCAATTCACATGATCGAGCCGGAACTTTAGTTCCTTACACTGCTGCTACAGCTAGTCTACCGAACCTAAACAAAAAGTATGTGGTTTCTCAACTGCTATGTTAAGAATTTATGTACTTACCAGCTTTCTGTGTCTATCCTCAAGCATATAATTCTGCTTCAGGAATCTGTCTGCTGTTGACCAGCACAGACTTGAGCTCCTCCAGCAGATAGAAGAGACCAAGCGACGTCGGGAGCTCGAACGCGAAAAAGAAAGATTGGAGGAACAGAAGGAGATGGAAAAGTTGAGCAAATGTGAACGCATGCCTTCAGCATTACCAATCTGTTCTCACTTAGACTCGAGCGGTACAATGAGAAAATAAGAAAGGAGAAGGAAGAGGAAGAAAGGAAGTTAAGAGAAAGAGCAAGACTTATCGAAAAACGAAGTGAGCAGCTGTACGAAAAACAATCCAAGCCTCAGCGCCAGAGGTCGCCACCGCCACGAGCGCGCCAAGGTAAGTAACACGTATGTTGGAGCTTGACTAATAAACCGCGGCAGCACGCAGCACCTGCGGCAGTTATGTATGTCAGGGTGTCTTTTTGAGTTGAAAAAATCGGGATGAAATCTCACCACATGGGCTCTTCAGTTGTGTGTTTGATCCATCCAGCTGCCTTGCTAGAAAGGAAACATCGGCTCCTCAAACCTCGCAACAGGGGAGCAGGAATTGTAGAATAAAACAAATAAGTTTGTGAATAAATGCTGCTGGATTTTTCTGAAAAGTCAGTCAGTAGGCCTACTAGAGGCCATTAAGTTTTTAGTAGATCAGGCTGCACAGTGTCTGTCTACATATTTCAGTCCTCACAGTTTTTATCATATACCTCGTATCAAACCAAAAATTCCTGAACTGACAGTAGCTCGACTATTCCAGAAGAGCGTCGTTCTCCATCACCGTCGGAAACGCCCAAACTGGAATGGTGGGAAAAGAAACCTTCATGGCAGCAAAAGGTGAGCCAAAATGACAAATTCAGTGTATTAGACTATTCTCCTGTGAACCAATCAGAAAGGACCATCTGAAATGTTACAAAGAATTACTGGTTTACACATAAAGGACATGTGTAGAAAATCTGCGTCGGATTCTAAGAAACTTCATGAAAGAAACTGCTGCGATTGACAGCAACAACTTCGACACACTTTTCATTGAAGAGCTTCCATCATTGATCTATCGTACTTTTGAATATTCTCTGATTTCTTGCATCTGGCCTTTTGCAAAAATGCGAGGGCGCTCACCACTCGATCGTACCTTATGTTGAACCTCATCCTTTCTTCTCAAGGTAAACTGATATGAATCCCGCTCACTATCCACAGGCCACAATGAGTGCATCCATATGTCTCCACGGTCCTAAATGGAAGTCGAACTCGTGGCGTAAAGATTGTCAGTTCTCGTTAACGCACTGTTTTTATCGTTTACATCGAAGTCTTCCATTATTTGAGCCTCCAGATATTTTACATACAGTACCGTGCAGTGAAGTATTCGTTTTCACTTTTTTAAACGTAACTCCCTCAAAACTCAAGCTTTTGTTCCGATTTTTTGTAGGTGAGACATATCACTATATGTGATAAGGGAGCAAATTTTCAGTTGTCTAGGTGGCTTGTATACCAATTTAGAAATTTTTAATTTTTTTTGGTCCAATACCATATTACTTGTTCGAACTTCAATCTATCTAAATTTCAAAAATAATAACAAAATAACTTGTATAATAACAGACTGAACAATTACAACATCAGCACTTTGTCGCAGAACCGTTTTCATCTACGACGGCTTGACACCGGCGTAGCACGGAATTGGACTCGGATTTTTTCTTGGTAGAGGTTCCCCTACGCGATCTTCAGTGGGACGGACTTTTCGAACTCGTTGTGAGCTTTTGGGCCTTCAGCTTGACTCCGAAAATCATCCTACAGATTTTTGCTCTGATTCAAGTATGGGGACTGCGATGGCATGGCAGTGGAGGAACATTGTTGTTGCGGAACCATTGCGAGAGCGGCTTTGATTTTGCGCTTGGGTCGGAAAATGAAACACTACGGGCGACACTGCGAGCATGCGGCCAGATAGCAGTCATCCATATGTTGAGGCGCGTTTTGGAATCCATTTCAGCCTCGGTCCGATGAAGGTGATCAACCCCTAGAAGCTGCCATGCAGTATCACCGCACCCCCTGCATTCGTCACGTCAGCACATGGAACCTCGGATGATATCTGGTACCAACAGGAAGTCGCACAAACTTGATTTCATTCGTCCTAAACAGCAAAAACTTCGATTCGTTGCTCTAGATGGCTTTTTGTCACTCTTAATAGTCCGTTTCTTGTGGGCATGAGCCTAATTGAGATGCGCTCTGCCACTCTTGAGGGGGAATCAGCGGTTTCTTACTGAGCTACGTCAGAAGTGCCCAGCATCTCTCAGACAACGTCGCACATTGTCTTCGGACGGATTTAGACCGTCTGGCGTTGAGAATCCGCGGTGAATTTCGGGTGCAGCGTGATGTGAGCCACTCCTTACAAGTCGCACAATGATTCTGTTGGCGAGAGAAGAGGTCATTTTTGCTGCTTCTGGGCACTTTTTGACTTTGGCAGGTTCGATGCTCTTGAATTTCTTCCAAGTCGTCCACTGGCGCTCCTTGAACTTCGAAAATCTGCTAGGATGTTAAGCCTTTGTAGAAGCTCCGAAAGATGGCGTCACCTGGTCCTGCCACAAGCTATGAATTCCCTAATGTCTTGGGAATGTTCTGAGTACTGTGTAGGCATATGAAACTGACACAAAACATCAAAAACACACGTGCTCTCAACATGGAAACTCATCGTTTATCAACAATGAAATTGGGTGCCCGCGGACAATACTCGAAAATGAAGCTCCATTTCCCCTTGAAAGGAGGCTACTGCACCGATACGCTGCTATAATATGACTACCTGTGTGTGTCAACTGCTGTCGAAGTTTTACTGCGAAAGCTTGAGTTTTGAGGAAATTACGTTTAAAAAAGTGAAAACGAATACTTCACTGCACGGTACTGTAGCTCCTCTGATATACAAAAAAAAGTTAAGCCGAAGTGCTCAGACTGCTTGATGATAAGTTGATGATACGGTGGAATTTAATGGAAAGGAAGGTTTTATTACCATTATATTTGACTGGATCACTTCTGAAAATTAATTTCAAGATCTCGATCTGTACTGCCTCCAGGTTGACTTGGGTTTCTAAGCCCGAATAATATTAGGTTGTCTCATAAATAGTGTCGCTTTTTTTCAACCAAAAAATTTTCATCTAAATCCCCATGCTTTTACATCGATATACCATTCGAAAGAGAATTGTCTGCTCTACAAGATGTTGTGTTCTTCTTCCACCTCTGTTCCAGGTTTTCAAATTTTAGGTCCTGCGAAATGGG